CACGCGGGGACAGAACCACACGGGAACAGGACACACGGGCAGGACACATGGGGACAGGACACACGGGAACAGGACACACGGGCAGGACACACGGGGACAGGACACACGGGGACAGGACCACGTGGGGACAGGACACACGGGGACAGGACACATTGGGACAGGACCACGTGGGGACAGGCCACACGGGCAGGACACACGGGGATAGGACACATTGGGACAGGACCACGTGGGGACAGGACACACGGGGACAGGACACATTGGGACAGGACCACGTGGGGACAGGACCACGTGGGGACAGGACACACGGGCAGGACACACGGGGACAGGACACATTGGGACAGGACCACGTGGGGACAGGACCACACGGGAACAGGACACACGGGCAGGACACACGGGGACAGGACACATTGGGACAGGACCACGTGGGGACAGGACACACGGGGACAGGACACATTGGGACAGGACCACGTGGGGACAGGACACACGGGGACAGAACCACACGGGAACAGGACACACGGGCAGGACACATGGGGACAGGACACACGGGCAGGACACACGGGGACAGGACACATTGGGACAGGACCACGTGGGGACAGGACCACGTGGGGACAGGACACACGGGGACAGGACACATTGGGACAGGACCACGTGGGGACAGGACCACGTGGGGACAGGACACACGGGCAGGACACACGGGGACAGGACCACGTGGGGACAGGACACATGGGGACAGGACACATTGGGACAGGACCACGTGGGGACAGGACACATTGGGACAGGACCACGTGGGGACAGGACCACGTGGGGACAGGACACACGGGGACAGGACCACATAGGCAGGTAGCTGGGATACTGTTTGGTTGGAAAACACTAAGGAAAAGATACCAAGTTGGAAAGTCATGTACGAGCTTCAGGGAGGGGCGAGCGACTCCACCCCCCTGAGTAATTCTGTGTCACTGAAGATTCACAGGCAGGGAAGTTGTGGAATGCCTCCATTTTGGCAGCGATTTCTCTGCCCAGGAATGCAAGCTGCTTCCTTGGGTTTATTTTGCTTTTTCTATCCTCTTAGTATAGAAGTTTAAATGACTGATTCAAGGTGTGTCTAACAGAGGTATTCAATGCTTATGAATTTTCCTCCAAACACCGCAGTGGCTGTACCTTGTAAAATCTGATATATTTTCAATTTTTACTCAGTTCAATGTATTATCTATTGTTTAAGAATGACTTGTGGGGACTGGGAAGGTGGCTCAGTGGTAGAGCGCTTGCCTTGCATGCATGAGACCCTGGGTTCGATTCCTTAGCACCACATAAGCAAAAAAGAAAAAAACTGGAAGTGGCGCTGTGGCTCAAATGGAAGAGCTGAAGGACAGCACCCAGGCCCAGAGTTGAGGCCCCACGACCAGACCAAAAAAACAAAAACAAAGAATGACTTGTGGATTGGGCGGGAGTGGTTTTTACTAAGCAATTTGATTTTTGCTTGCCATTCTTCTGTTGCTGGCTTATCGCTGTTTCATAATGTCTGGAGGGCAAGTTTTATATGGTTCCATGTCTTTTATATTGATTAGATTTTATTTTATGGCCTGAGATAGGTTTATCTTGGTGGAGGTTTCCTGTGGTTCTGCTATTGTTGGGTGGGGCATTCTGTAAATGTGATGCCTTCATTTCTATGACACCCCTTTGCTAACCTCCTGCTTCTGTTACTGTAGGAGTCAGGGTTCTTAAAGAAATAACAAAACAGAGCCAATAGGATGTCTGTGTCTCTGTCCTCTGTCTGTCTGGATTGCAGCCATTATTTCTTCACCAACACTCCTGGCAGCACGCTCTCCCCCCCCCCCCCCCCCGGGCCTGGAGAGCGCCCTCCGCCGCCGGCTGCTGGCCCCTGGTCTGGAGGCTCCCATCTCCCATCATCACCGCTTCTCTGCTGCACAGGTGACGTCATTTCCATCAGTGGGTCTTACCAAGGGCGGCACCATGTTTAATTCCAGTAATTGCCTTCTCAGTGTGAAGATTTCCATTTGTTCTTGGTCGCTTGCCTGGTCTACTTTTGCAGAGTGAAAGACACAGACTGTGCAGACACTGCCGACGTTGCTGTGGAAACAAACAGGGCCAAACGCAGGCTGGACCTGGAAGCTGGGCCTCCGTTCGTCTCCTCTGTGCTGTGACTTCTGTTTGGAGCATGCCGTGGTGCTCCAAGAGCCTCTGCATCCCCTACGTGTTCTTAGCCAAGGACGGAGCTCCTAGGACCTGGCAGCCCAACAGGAGCTTGAGCAAGGGGAGACCTGAGGACTCACGTGACCAGCTGTGGGGAGGAAGTTAGGGGCTGTGACACCTTCCATTTCCTGAGGATCATTTTGTAATGACAAGAACTGCCTTTCAAACCCTCTGCACCCCAATAGCCAAGCGTAGTTGCACCTGTCTGTACTCCCAGCACTCCAGAGGCAGGAGGATCACAAGTTTGAGGCCAGCTGGAGCCTCACATGAGCTCTGTATTAAGCCACCCCTCCTCCACCTAAAAGCAAACACCGCAGTTTTGTGTGTGTGTGTGTGTTTTCTGTCCTGGAAATAGGAAAGGTCTCTGTATTCAACCACTTGTTTTATCCTGCTTAAGTTTGGAGCCAGAGAAGAGCAATTAACCTCCAGCCTCTCCCTTCTCTCTGCTCCAGTGGAGGCTGCTGGAGCAGAGAAAGTGTGTGGAGAATGACGAGGTGTAAAGGGAAGGCTGTAAATTACTCTCCCCTGGCAATCACACCGAGGCACAAGGCTAGAGGGTGCGATCGCAGCCCTTGGGGTCTGGAGTCCCAGGATTCCTGACACTGCAGAAGGGGCATGTGCACAAGCCCGTCGGAGCCTCCAGCCAGGCAGGGAGGCCCAGGGTCGGGCAGATGTAATCGCAGACGCTGTCAGCCCAAGGCACACATTAAATAATCACCTTGGGTTTTGACATCCCTTTCCCTTCCCCCAGCAGACTTTCTTACCCTCTTTAGGAAGTGGACTGAACACAGATTCGTAATTCCCATTTAAAGTCCGGCAGTAGAGACGATCATTTTATCCCATTTACTGAGCGTTGTTTTCTAGGACAGTGAGGCTCCTGCTAGCATTTTTGGAGTGTGCACTTTTTCTGGGCACTTTACAAAGAGCCTTACATGTCGCTCTTTCTCATTACCACCCCTGAGAGTGGACACTGTCTCCACGCTGCAGGTGAAGGATTTCACCCATGAAATTTGCCCAGGAGGGCAGCTGTGGGGAGCGGGGAGGTGTGGGGCGGGGTGTGCTGGGTCCTCAGCTCCATCCCCAGACAGAGCTGGTGGCAGTAACAGTTCTGGCCATGGTGTGTGTGTGTGGTCAGGCAGGCTGGATGAACCCTTGTCCTTGTGTAAACTGAGGCACAGCTGGCGGGGGGGGGGGGGTCTGACTTGGTTATCACAGGTGAGCTCTGACCTGGCAGTGGGGGTACGGGCAGGTGCCGGAGTTCCTCGGGGTCCCTCAGTCACCCTGGCATTCCTGATTGGTTCAGGGCCGAGGAGCCCACGTGGCCAGCCCAGCACACCACCTCCTTTCTGCCACCTGATTTCTCTCTGATTTATAGAGACCCAAGTCTCAGCAGAGCTTGTGGTTTCATCCACAAGTGTTTGTTAGAGTGAGTTTGAGGTGCTACTAGGAAGGTATCTTTTGTTGGTGGTGGTCATGGGGCTTGAGCCCAGAAGGAAGTGTCTGTAATGTGCACCTCTATGCTCACCCCACAGCCCCGGGAGCCCTTCACCCACCTGCACTCACACCCACTCACACCTGCACACACCCACCCGTACCCCCACACCCCTGCACTCACAACCACCCACACCCCTCCCATACCTGCTCGTACCCACCTGCATTCACACCCACACACACCTGCACACACCCACCTGTACCCTCATACCCGTGTACTCTCACCTACCCACACCCCTCACATACCTGCTCATACCCACCTGCACTCACACCCACCCGTGCCTCCTCACACCCCTGCACTCACACCCACACCCCTGCACTCACACCCACCCATGCCTCCTCACACCCCTGCACTCACACCCACCCGTGCCTCCTCACACCCCTGCACTCACACCCACCCATGCCTCCTCACACCCCTGCACTCACACCCACACCCCTGCACTCACACCCCCTCACATACTTGCTCATACCCACCTGCATTCACACCCCCACCCCTGCACTCACACCCACCCGTGCCTCCTCACACCCCTGCACACACCCACACCCCTGCACTCACACCCACCCATGCCTCCTCACACCCCTGCACTCACACCCACCCATGCCTCCTCACACCCCTGCACTCACACCCACTCACACATCTGTACTTGCACCCACCCTCACACATTCACGCCACTGCACTCACACCGCCTCACAACCCTCACACTCTGTGTCTCACACACACCTTAACACACCTCCTACCCCATCTCCATGTCTGTGTGGTTGTGGGGCTGCTCTGGTTGAGCGGCTGGAGTTAGGACCCAGGAACACAGCGGGGACAGGATATAAATAGAGAGAGGACAGTGAAGTTTGACTAGAGCTGACCTCACTCCCTCCCCACCCAGAGCCTGAGGCACAGGCAGAGGGGCAGCTGTGGCGCTCAGGAGCCGGGACTACGGGACTAAGGCAGAGCCTCCCGGTTCCCCTCCGGTTCAAGGCAGAAGCGGGAAGGGCAGCCAGCCCCGCCCAGCCCCGAAGGCGGGTCCCTCTGGGGGACGGCGGGCGGCCCGAGGGCTGTGGTGCAGCCTTTTGGATGCTTTCTCAGTCTGGAGCTGGCCTTTGCTTCTGGCAGTCCGCTGCCTGTTAGGTGGAGAGAGGGAGAGAGAGAGAGAGAGAGAGAGCACGCCTCTCTCACAAACTCCACAGAGCTGACTTTCAAGTCCTGAAGCCTGTGAAATATCCCTGTCCCAAAGAAGAGGAAAGCAGAGGCCAGAGCCCCCCTCTCAGGAATTCCACGCGGGGCCCCGCCCCGCCTCTTCTGACCTCTGGGAACCATGAAGAAGCTGCCGTCCCTCGCCCACTGGCGCTCCTGGCTGCTGCTCTGTGTCTGTGGATTCCAGGTAACGTCCCGAGCAGCCGCGGTGTGTCCATGTGGACGTCTGTGGAGGCTCTCCGGCGTCCCGAGGTGTGGCCTTGTGATTCTTGCGGGTGTCTCACAGTGTGACCTTCCCTTGCAGGTGTGTGCAGTCCCACACAGAGCACAGGACCACCCAGGTAAGAGGTGTCACCTCCGCGGGCTGGCTGGCCGCGGCCTCTCGTTGCCTAGCTGGCACCTAGGGAGAGCTGATCAGCACCCTGGCTGTCCAGGGTCGCCTTTTACTCCTCTTTGCCCTCTGTCGACCCCGCCATGGGGCCATCTGGCCAACATCTTCACACTGTGATATGGAAGCTGGTCTCGTGGGACACATGGAACCTTGTGGTGAAGGGATGTGCTTCCCGCCTCTCTCACCTGAGCCCGCTAGAGCTCCCTCTGCGCCACAAGCCCTATGTGCCGCCGTCCTGGCAGGGCTGGTCCTGCCAGTGCCTGGCATGGCATGGGGAAACCTCACCTGGCCTGCACATGTGTGTGAGTGAGTGTGCGAGTGCGTGAAGGTACTGGACTTGAACTCTGGGCCTGGGCGCTGTCTTTCAGTTTTGCTCAAGGCTAGCACTCTACCACTTAAGCCACAGCTCTACATCTGGCTGCTTGGTGGTTAACTGGAGATAAGAGTCTCAGGGGCTTTCCTGCCCAGGCTGGCTTCAAACTGTGATCCTCAGGTGTCGGCCTCCTGACTATTAGGATTACAGGTATGAGGCACAGGTACCTGGCCGCCTTTGGCCTTGCCGCAGCGTGCCCGTGTGTGTAGACCAGGTGTGGAAGGGAGGGATGGGAAGGGGTGAGCGGCCCGGGAGCCGGGTTGGCCGCTCTAGGCCTGGGGCTCCCAGCCGCTTCTAACTCTGACCCTTTGCTGAGGCTTATGGCTGGCTTGGAGCCAGGCCTCTGACTCGGGGGGTGGGGGTGGGGGTGCGGTCCTGGCAGCCGTGAGCAGCCCGCCTGCTTCCAGGGAACGTGGTGATGGCTGCTGGAGCTCCAGCCCAGGCCACGGCCCGGCTGCCAGGGCCCTCTGGCAATCTCATGTAGGTGCACTTCAACCCTGCCCTTCCGAGTAGAGAGGTGGCCGATTCTCCCACCCACATCTTCAAGGCCCTCCCTCCTTAAATCCTCTGCACGCGTGTGGAAGCCATGGGCCCACCTGTTCCCCAGCCACTGCCCCAGCGGAAGGACCCAGGGGCCAGGTAGCCACACTTGTCACCACACTAAGGAGGCGTGCAGTGAGGAGGGGTCTGCTCATGGAAAAGGGGTCCATGGTCAGAGCTAGCAGGGCTCCCCTATATCACTCCAACACACTCCAAATCACTCCAAAGGCCTTCCAGGCTGTGCCCCTGGACATAGTGTCCCCCCCCCACTCCCCGTCCACAGCTGTGGGGCCTGCTGGGTGCCCGGCCGCCTCTCCGGAGCCCTGCAGATGGACACAGGCATGGCACACACAGGGAGCCCTGGTCAGATGGGGAGAAGGGGTGGGTACAGGGTTGGCACGCATCACCCTCAGGGCGTTAGCTGTTCAGGGCGTTAGCTGTTAAGCGTTTGCCAGCAGTGTGCTGGGCATCTTTACAGGGTTGCACCGGGTGGCAGATCTCCCAGGCCTGCACTTCAGCGATGGGAGTGATGGACCAGGACACAGGCATCGGGGGCAGTCAGGGGCATGGCACCCAAGGAGGTGACCGGGAAAGGACGGTGGTGCAGGATTGGGTGGGTGTGGGAGCTGGAGCTGAGCTAGGGCACTGCTAGTGTCCTGGTTCATGCAGCCATACCAAACCTCAGTTTTGGTAAGAAGGCCCAACAGGATATGCTGTTCATGTTGGTCCGTCCTGGCATCCGGCCGTGTGCCCTCTGCCTCGTCGGTGTGCAGAGGTCACTTGCCCTTGATCTGTGGCAGAGGGGACCCGGCTGGGTGGCGCCTCACTTGGAAGCCTGAGCCAGGCCGCACGCACACCCCCAGGGGATGCTCTGGGTGTGTAGGCCGGGTCATCTGTCCACACTGGCTCAGGGGGCTGCTGGATCCCTAGCTCTGCCAGTACGCAGGGGGCTTAGCTTCATAAGTGATCTCAAATCACGCCGCTTCTCAGGAGCCTCTGTGCTGTGGATGGTCGCCGAGCAGGTTTAGTGTGGTTATCCTGTCCTCACTTTGTGGAGAGACTGGAGAGCGGACACTGGGACCAGCCGGGCAGGGACATCTGCCACCACCCAGGCACCGAGCCCTGGTCCTGGCTCCCCATGACAACATACGAAGCTGTGCCTGTCAGTTAATTCCGACCCCTAGATGGTGCTGGCTAGGAGACTGCAAGTCATTTGCAAAAGTTTATAAACATGTCCTTTTATAGGTAATGACTGTAATGAGGACCGGGGGAATTGAGAAAAGTAGCAGCCACGTCACCACTCGGACCCTTCCTACCCGGGGGCCGTGGGGCTCTGACCCCAGCTGGGGCCAGCATGCCCGGCAGCCACCTGACTGCCTCTTGGGAGGCTGGGGAGCCCACAGCAGGTAATCACGGTGTATCATTCCACACAGTGACCCTGTGGTGTGTGGTCGACAGTGGCCCGCCCTGCACTGTGGGAACCTGAATGTCACCTTCCTAGGGTGGAAAACTACGTTCACGATGGCCTTTTGAAAAACAGCACTGTCATCCTGTCAGACACAGGGGTCTCTCAGATAGTGACTTTCTAGGGGCAAGGACTACAGATATAATTGCATTCCCTGTGTACCCTATGTTCATGATTAACTGGTCTCTACTCATTCCTGCATTTCATCACCCATTCTACCTGTGGAGTTATTTTTTTATTTATTAATTTTGTGCTTATACTGGGGCTTGAACTCAGGGCCTCACACTCTCATTTTAGGCTGATGCTCTACCACTTGAAACACCTCTGGCTATTTGGTGGTGAACTGGAGACAGAGAATCTCACAGATTTGTCTGCCCAGGCTGGTTCTGAACAGTGATCCTCAGATCTCAGCCTCCTGAGTAGCCAGGATTATAGGTGTGAACCACCAGTGCTCAGCTAGAGTATGTTTGTAATGACTAACATCCGGACCTTGGGAGATTTCAAATAAAAAAATCTGAATTATACACACACACACATGCATGTACACACACATGGAACACAGAGAGGAGATAGAATCCTTTACATAGCAGAAGTCTGACTCAGGGGCCAGACACCAGACCAGGCACAGAATGTCTGGTGGAGGTAACCGCCGGGGGAGGGCCGAGAGGGTGGTGACAGGGCCAGGAGGCCTGAGGGGAGGCTAAGACCTGGATTGGAAAGAGGCAGCTACACAAAACACAAGGACCAGCTTTCCAAGCAGTGGGGAACAGCAGACAGCCTGCGGGGAAATGAGCTTCAGTGTTGAAGGGAGGCGGATAGAGCCCAGCAGGCAGCGATGGACTGGTGGGGACCAAGGACAGGTCATTTGAAGGACCCCTTGAAGGTGGAGTCCTGGGAAGGGGAGGATGGAGATAACCGAAGGCAAGGGGCAGAGAGGAACCAGGAAAATTATGAGCTGTTGTCACCATCAATTCTTGTCTTCTCCCAGCCAACCTAAAATGATGGAACTTTAGATATGAGCGCAAGACTTATGATGGCAATGGCTGGAAATCTTCCCCTGCCTCTGTCTTCTCTTACCCTGCCCTGCCTCCCTTCCTCTTCCTTCTTTCTCCCAACCTCCCTGCACTGTCTTCTCCTGTCTCTGACTCATCCCCAAATGGCCATGTGACTGCCAGACGAGCCACAATGTCTAAGAAGACACCTTGCCTTGGGTGGGTCTGCCTGCGAGACCATGTGGCTGACTAGATCAGCTCTGGTCCTTCCTTGGTGATGGGAAGGTGGCCGCAGCCTGTCTCTGTCACAAAAGAGCAAGACCCTTTCTGGTTTCTCTGAATCCTTTAGGTTATATGGGCCTGTGGACGAGCCAGGCCTATCCTGTTAGCACCACCTCATTGTTATTTAAAATTGCCAGGACTAAATTGGGGGGAATTTTACACTTAGAACACCCAGATCTCTAACTTCTCCAAAAGCAGAGACCTGGAGATTCTGGACAACTGACCTGCAGTGGCACCAACATGGCATGGACAGGGTTCTGTGGTTGGGTGTCTGCAGCTCAACCTGCCACAGCCCTCCTGCCCTGTTCCAGGGCAGGACACGGCATACAAAGGCCCTGGTCCTTCATCGCTGGCACCTGCCTGTCAGCAGATGCATGCCACCAGCTGGTTAACCTGCAAAGCCATGCCCTCAGGATGGGCCTGGCCTGTAGGAGCAACAGTCTGTGCCCGTGCCCCTGTGCCCAGCTGTGAGTTCACATGGCAGTGCGTCACAGGGGCTAGGTGCCTTGGGAAGGGCAGCAGGGCAGCAGGTCCGGCAGCCCCTCCTGAGCACCTCTTCCCCGGCACCCCCTTGGGGTTGCAGCTCCTTCCGGGGTGATGCCATACCTATGTTTCTCAGCAATTCCTCCCAGAACCAGCTGCAGCCTCAGTCACCGGAGATGGTGAGAGGGTGTTGTGTCCGTACGTCAGTGACGCACAGGGGAGCTGAGCTGGCCTCTGTTCTCTATACACTATATGTGATTTCTTTTCCTGATTGTTCCCATGGTAAATAAAAGTCAGTGAAGGTTTTTTTCAGTGAGTATCCTCGATTTTAGGTGGAAATCATGGTAGATGAAGTGGGTGCTTTGGCCTCTTGCTTCTCCGAGTTCCACACACAGCCTCCAGATGTCCAGCAGGACTCTCTGGCCTGTAAACAGGAGCTAGGCCGTGGGCAGAGTCTTGCCTTTATGCTCCAGAAAGCACTTTGTCCTCGGCTTACATTTTAGACTTTTGTATCTAACATGCTTTAAGGACAAAAGGGAAACAAGTTTTTTCTTTTTGTCAGTCATGGGCCTTGAACTCTGGGCCTGGGTGCTGTCCCTCAGCTCCTCAGCTCAAGGCTAGCACTCTTACCACCTGAGCCACAGCGCCACTTCGTTTTCTGGTGGTTTATTGGAGATAAGAGTCTCACAGACTTTCCTGCCTGAGCTGGCTTTGAACTGCTATCCTCAGATCTCAGCCTCCTGAGTAGCTAGGATTACAGGTGTGAGCCACTGGCACCCAGCTAACAAGTTATTTCTTAACAGGAGGAGTTTTGTTTTGGTGCTGGGGACAAAGCCAGGAACTCTCTCAGGCATGCTAGGCAAGTGCTATACCTCAGCCTGAGAGGTTTAAAGATACAGCAGCCATAATACATCCAAGAAGGAATCAAGACACTTTTGTCACATATATTACATAAATACTATCATTTCACAGTTTAACTTGTTTCTGAGCAAAAATTTAAAACAATGCAGTCAAATTTATCACCTCAGAAAGCTTTTATATTTAATATTATTACACTCATCTTTTAATCCAGGTAGTATAAAGCATGAGGTGGGCTCCTTTTTTCTCCTCAAACAGTTAATGGCTCCACCAGTTTTTGCTGAGTATATTTCTCTTGTTCAAGACACCATCTTTATCATAAGCTATCCAGCCGGGTGCCAATGGCTCATGCCTGTAATCCAAGCTACTCAGGAGGCTGAGATGGAGATTTGAAGCCAGATTAGACAGACAAATCTGGGAGACTCTGCAATTAACCAGCAAGTCAGTGACTTCATCTGTTCATGTAACATGAGACTAGAAACTAGTATATCTGCATAATACGTAAACAGAAAGATCATGAAGCCAGCCCTTCTCAGTGGGCAGGATACAGGTACAGTGGGGGGCGGGGAGGGGGCAGTAGGGCTGGGCCTAGGAAATATCCTGTCTAACATGGCCTTGCATGTAATTTGAGCAAGGACTTTCTTGCTGATCTTACAAATAGGCAAAGGACACAATTATCTTGTCAGTCATTGTTAGCACGGATAAGAAAGTGTTTCCCAAATACGTCCACCAACAATGTCTAGCAGCACTGAGGTTCGTGTCCTTCCAGAACTGTTTTTCATAATTTCTTTCCTTGTCCAATGATGGTAGACATTGGCTTACTGTGGGGTTCATTTACTCTCCCCAATCAATCGAAGGTCCAGCTCACAGCTCCATCCTTTCCTCTGCAGGCTTTGCTGTCTTGGCCTCTGCTTCCCATTACTGGCCACTGGAAGATGTGGACGGGATCCACGAACTTCAGGATACAACTGGAGGTAGACCTGGGCACTGGGAGTGCTGCAGGCCAGGGGCTGGGGCATCAGGGCACCAGGAGAACCATTTGAGCCATGCCTCTGCCCGAGACCCCCTTTTAAATAGAAATTTTGAACAATTTAACTATTGTTCTTGATGCTATCAAGTAGCTGATGTGTCCAGCCACAGTGCCATAGTACAGAGCTCAGCCTGTGTTCCAGTCATTTCTGCTTTGGTTCCTGTGCAGTGTGTGTGTATGTGTGTGTGTGTGTGTGTGTTTGTGTATAAACATCCATACACATATATGGCAGAACTGGGGTTTGAACTCAAGACCTCATGCTTGCTAGGCAAGCACTCTACCACTTGAGCCATGCTACCATCCCATGTAATACATTAAAAAAACACAGGCTACTGATTACTATGGCCATGCGCCCCACCCTGCCAGCACACTGTCACCTTCCTATGGTTGAGATTTAGAATGCTGCCAGGAATCCACAGAACCCTTTAAAATGTTTCCTTACACTCTTGCAAGCTTCAGTCATGGCCTGGTGGTGGGGGAGGGCCTCTGGGAAGGACACAGGGCGCTGTCTTCAGTGTGGTTTGCTGGCCTGTCCTCTTCTTACGTGGATGGCCGCCCCTGAGCACAGCCTTACAGACAAATATTTTCTCTGAATTCATGCTTCGGTGGGGTGAAAACACACTGCAAGTTTCTGATGTGGCTGGTTCAGAGAAAAGAGAGCACTTGCCCTGGTCAAACCTCATTTTTTTCCTGTTGGGTCTTTGTTTTCAAGCTCTCGGAGGTAATACCCCTGAAAAGTGGAAATGCGTTGTCAAAATAAATAGCTCGCTGCCCAGGATCCAGCAACTAATATATTAGGAGTCATTTCAATAAAGAGTCTGATAGCTGCCTATCAGAGCGCTTGTCCCAAGCCCCCATCTGAGCCAGTCATTTAATCGATTAAGTCAGGAAATCACACAAATACATTGGCAAAGGGGCTGACCGCTGTCCATTGAGTGCACTGACTCTGGTCAGACTCTAAATAAACAGATCAGTGTTTTCTGGAAACCCTGGAAGTGGAGCATCAAGTGGTCTCCTCTCGCCATGCCACCCTGCCACCAGGCCGCCCTGGCACATTTCAGTTCAATGAGAGGTCCTCAAGGAAGAAGGATGGTGGATGGCTGGGAATCACGCCATGGATGTGCTGCTGCCTGCTGTCTGCGACTAGGCTCTGTCTTGTCACTTGTCACCATTTCACATGGTTGTGTTCATGCCCTGTTTGTGTCTCATCAGTTCTCACCAAACCATCCCCATAAATCCTTTTGTTGTAGCCATTTCACAAACGGCCAAGTTCAGTATCTTATCTCTCAACCATGCCTCTGTGTGGGAGTGGAGCCACTCTGGAACCCTCACCTGTGAGCTTGTGGCCGGGATAGACAGCTCCTGCACCCATCTTTGGGATGAACAGTGTGCTGCAGCTGGCCGGCATGAGGGCAGAGGAGCCCTGGGGAGGGGCGGCCGGGGTGGAAGGGGTCCCCTGCGGGCAGGCCTCGTTGAGAGGCGCGCCGGCCCTGCGTGTTTACTTGCGTTTGCCGTCGTCTCACTCATGTGTTGTGCCTTCTCTCTTGTTGTCTCACCCAGCATTGCGAGCCCACAACCTCACTGTGCTCCCTTCCCACAATTCTACCTTTGTTTCTACCAATGACTCTGCCTACTCCAATTTCTCTGCAACCGTAGGTGAGCACCTTATGTCTGTTTCTGATTTCTGTCATGTTGGGATCTCCAGTGAACTTGAGGGCTCAGCAGTCCAGTCCTGTGGGATGCCACTCTCTTGGTTGGCAGATAAGTGGGTAGCAGTAAGTAGAAGCAGACAGAGCCAGGGTGGATGGCCAGGCTCAGAGGGGCAGGTGCTTGTCCATACTCCCAGCAGATTCTGAAATGGAAGCTTATTTCCAGAGCAAAACCGAGCCAAGATGAGATCTTTTCAAAACACAGAAAGAGGGGAGAAGAAGCCCTTTTCAAGGAAAATCAAAATTAATTCAAAGTGCTTTATCCAGAATTTAATCTTTTCCAAACGTTAAAATCAGCATTATCTTTGCAGCTGGATTTTAAAACTCCTAAGATGCTTTCTTCTAAGACACACCCCCACGAGAGTCATGACTGAATTACTGTCTTCTTTAATGATCCCAGAGCCCACAGGGCTGTGTGTTCTCCATGCAGCTGAAACAGAAGGGCAGCAATTGTGGCATTTATTTGGTGGGCCTCAGAGACCAGTTCTGATCATATAGATCCATTTTCTAGCCCATCTCCCAGTTGCTCCTTCAACTGTGGGGTGTTTGGCTCCTGCAATTAATTTTGCCAAGCAAATGGTCTTGCCTAGGGGTTTGTGCAGACTAACTCAGTTAAGAAACTGTTATTTATCCATTTAGTGCTGTATAAGACATAGATCTCTCTGGCAAGAAACAGGGTAAGTAAAAACAATAGTTTCAACACAGTAAGGACAAACAGTGGTGTCCGGGGGTTATCCAGTCACAAAGCTGGCCTGGGGTGGCAGTGTTGGGTCAGAAGGCCGAACAGCTCCTGGGTATATACTGTACCCAAAGCCAACAGGGCCACTCTCCCCAGTCTCTCCCAAGTAGCAGAGGAAGATGAGCAAGCTGACCACAGTGAACAACAGATGCTGCCACTGTTAGGTTTCATAGGCCCCGCTTATCCTCTCTAAAAACTCCGTGCCTTCGTCTTTCCTCCATCAGACACATTTGAGTTGGAAACAGGACAAAACAAGATGTCTGGATGGGCAGGGCTTCTGAAGGGATTTATGGCTGTGGGGTCCTGCAGCTGGCGGGCCTTCCTCAGACTGTCCCAGGCCCTCCCAGGTCGGAAACACAGGCCCCAAAGCCAGGTGGGATTAGAATGCCCTAAGCCGAGCTCAGGAGAACAGAGAGCACATCATTCTCCATGTTCAGTCTACTAAAGGAAATTCGAAACGAGGATGGGCTGGGACGGATCCGGCAGCATGTGATATGATTAGGACAGCGGGGCACAGCCGTTCGTTTCACCCCAGTGGGTTCAACCATTGGCAAAAAGGACAGTTACTGTATCATTCCGCTGTAATGCATGTGACACATTAATAAGACATCAATAGGATATTATAATAATTTACCACCTAACACTTAAACTTATATATTATTTATAATTACTAATAGTTAAATATTAATGAATGCCATTAATATTCTAGATAGTGTGTGGTATTATGAATGTGCAATTATGAAGACAAGGAAGCTGTGAATCTGACTTGTGTCTTTAGGCTTCCAGTCTCATAGGGTCACTAACACACAGTGCTGTCTCTCCTCTCACTCAGACATTGTGGAAGGGAAGGTCAACAAAGGCATTTACCTCAAGGAGGAGAAGGGGGTAACACTCCTGTACTACGGCAGGTACAAGACGTCTTGCATCAGCAACCCGGCTCAGTGTGGCCCTGAGGGTAAGTGACTGTTGCCTCTCCTACTTCCATGCATTTCATTGTGGGTAATGGCTGCTTCTCTGGCCAGTGGCAGATGTGAACATGAAGCTCCCATCAATTATAGCATGAAATGTCAAATACAAGCTGGAGAGAGGGAGCGGAGGCAACATAGGCAGCTTGAGCTCAGACTGGAGTGCCATCCTGGAGATGGGAGTTATACACCATCATGGCCCAGAGCTATGGGATGGTGATATTTCATCTTGTCAGAGAGGAGGGGACCCTCCTTTGGGGAGCCACCTTGCTGCCACCCGCCCAGATTGGGATGGGGCTGCGGCATTTGTGGGAAGCAAATTGATGGTGTGGCTGCCACCACGTTATTTCTGGTTCTGACATGTGGATGCCCAGTCTGCAGGGTGTGCCTGTTAACCCTCACACTGGTTGTGCCCGGGCCACTGAGGGCAGCTGGCAGGGCTGCTGTATCTGTCCCCACCATCAGCCGAGGCCTATGGTTAGAGTGATAGCATGGACAAAGAACAGGTGGGAAAGGGCAAGCAGGGACCCACCCTTCTCCTCATTCCTCGTGAGAGGCCAACCTGCTCCTGGGGTCTGGCTGTGCACACAGCACATCTGGGCTGAGTTTGAAACTTTCTGAGCTGTCTCTCCTCTGCCATTATTACCAGCTGGAGCTTTCAAGTTGTTTCTTTTAGGCAAAATGGAAATGTTTGTTCCTAAGGGTAGAAAAGTTTCATGCAGTCCTGCTTAAGGCTCTGAGACATCTTGGGTCTTAGATGGCCCCAGGCAACAGGTTGTGTGTGGTTCTAGGAAGAGACAGACTCCATTCCAATGAGAACAGACAAATGTGGAAGGCTACATTTCAGACTCTGCCAGGCTCAGACGTGTGTGGAACAGCTCTGAGGTCAACACCTAGGCTGGGAAGCAGCTAATAGGACTTGAGCTTGTCCCCAGTTCAAAGAGCCCTGGGAACACAGCAGGCTTATTTCTGCAAACTCAAACTCCCCTCTGGGGAGTGGGAGGCAGGAGAGACTGAGCTCTGGGGAGTGGGACATTTTCATATGGTTTTCCCTGGCCTCCCAGGCAGCAGCTGCTCTGGGGAAGGGAGTATCTCTGTGGCTCAGCTAGAGTTTATCTCCCCCAGGTCCTGGGAGTCCCAGGGCTGGTACTTTCCCCGATGACAGACCCAGAGGGAGCCTGTGGCAGGGCCCAAGGGAAGTGTGGCTCAAAGCTTCCCAGCAAGGCCCCTGTACCCCAAGGCCCAGTAGCCTTGGAATTAAAAATCTTAAATTAGCTGCTACAAAAATAGAAAAATAGGAAATGTTTAAGGGCTTCTATTTTCCTCAAGAAAAGGCGTATTCCCATTTTGGGATCCTTGGTCTTTTGTAGTTATTCCTGACATTGGGCTAAATTGTCTCTTGAGGGGCTTAGGATTAACAACTTTCTTTCGGTGGGGGCGTCCTGGGGTTTGAACTGAAACTGTTCGGTTTGCCAGGCAAGTGCTCTACCACTTGAGCCATGCCTCCCCCCGATAGGGTCTGGCGTTTTTGCCCAAGTTGGCCTCAGACCACGATCCTCCTATCTCGGCTTCCAGAGTGCCTGGGAACACAGGCAGGAGCCACGGCAGCCATCTCTAACCCCGCTCAGCCAAGCGGGAGCGGCTGTAGTCACCTCCCCTTCCCCTTCTGGGAATCGGGGTGTCCGGCCTCCCCGCCGGGGCCCTCGGGCCAGGCCCTGCCTCCGCTCCCCCTTGGCAGGCACGAGGTGGCTAACTTTAGAAAGCTGTTGGAACAAGGTGGAAATGTTCGCGGGGCGGCCTGGGATGGAAGGTCCCGGAGGCCGGGCCGCGGGCTTCGGGAGCAGGCAGGCTCCGGACGGGGAGCCCGAGCCGCAGCAGGCAGGCTCCGGACGGGGAGCCCGAGCCACAGCAGGCTGGGCCGGCTGGGCGCGCGTGGTCCGGGGACGCGGGGCTGGGCGGGTCTGGCGGTGTGGAGGCCCTGGCAGGCTCGGCGCGCCGTACCTCGGCATCACCGGAGCCAGCAGCCTTCCTGACGCCGGGGCGCCTTGCTCCGACTGCCCCGCGCCGGACGCACGCACGCACGCGAGAGGTCCCCGCCGGGCCTGACGGGCACGTGGGCTGCAACTGGGCTGCACGACGCCCAGGCGTCCCCTCTCACCCAAGTGTGCATGCCTGTGCGCATGTGCACGCTCCTCCCCGCCACCTGGCCACTGGTGCGCATGCCCCTGCGTCCCGCCGCCCTTCCCAGATAACTGCGCATGCGCGCACGCTCTGCTCCCGCCATTTCGCCACTTGGAACTCAAGCGTGGCGGAGCCTTGGCCCTCGCCCTTTCCGGACTCGGCCTCTCCGCGGCGGGGCCTCCCTCCTGCCAGCCTGTGAGTCCGCTTGTCCTTACCTCGTCCTTCCTCCCTTCCTGCTGCCTGGCCCGGGAACTCGGGGTAGCATGGACTTCGCCCTTCATGGCCGCTCCCTCCTGTCAAGCTGGCACGGGACGAAGCGCCCTCGTCCAGGGTTCCTGTCCCCGACGCCCAGAGGCGTCGCTGTCCACAGGCCGCCCACGGCTTCGCGGCAGCATGGGGGCCGGGAGGCCGGTCCGGAGGCGTCCGGGCCCAGGGCTCGACCTCGGGGCCCGGGCGCTGCCGCTGGGTCGAGGCTGGTGCCCGGCCACGCGGGCCTCAGCCCCACTTCCGGTCTCTGGGGAGGAGTCCCGCGGGCGCTCCTGTCAGCCTCAGCCCCACTTCCGGTCTCGGGAGGAGTCCCGCGGGCGCTCCTGTCAGCCTCAGCCCCACTTCCGGTCTCCGGAGGAGTCCCGCGGACGCTCCTGTCAGGCCTCAGCCCCACTTCCGGGCTCTGGGGAGGAGTCCCGCGGACGCTCCTGTCAGCCTCAGCCCCACTTCCGGTCTCCGGAGGAGTCCCGCGGACGCTCCTGTCAGCCTCAGCGCCACTTCCGGTCTCCGGAGGAGTCCCGCGGACGCTCCTGTCAGGCCTCAGCCCCACTTCCGGTCTCTGGGGAGGAGTCCCGCGGACGCTCCTGTCAGCCTCAGCCCCACTTCCGGGCTCTGGGGAGGAGTCCCGCGGGCGCTCCTGTCAGGCCTCAGTTCCACTTCCGGCCTCTGGGGAGGAGTCCCGCGGGCGCTCCTGTCAGGCCTCAGCCCCACTTCCGGCCTCTGGGGAGGAGTCCCGCGGGCGCTCCTGTCAGGCCTCAGCTCCACTTCCGGTCTCTGGGGAGGAGTCCCGCGGGCGCTCCTGTCAGGCCTCAGTTCCACTTCCGGTCTCTGGGGAGGAGTCCCGCGGGCGCTCCTGTCAGGCCTCAGCTCCACTTCCGGCCTCTGGGGAGGAGTCCCGCGGGCGCTCCTGTCAGCCTCAGCCCCACTTCCGGCCTCTGGGGAGGAGTCCCGCGGGCGCTCCTGTCAGCCTCAGCTCCACTTCCGGCCTCTGGGGAGGAGTCCCGCGGGCGCTCCTGTCAGGCCTCAGTTCCACTTCCGGCCTCTGGGGAGGAGTCCCGCGGGCGCTCCTGTCAGCCTCAGCTCCACTTCCGGCCTCTGGGGAGGAGTCCCGCGGGCGCTCCTGTCAGGCCTCAGCTCCACTTCCGGTCTCTGGGGAGGAGTCCCGCGGGCGCTCCTGTCAGCCTCAGCTCCACTTCCGGCCTCTGGGGAGGAGTCCCGCGGGCGCTCCTGTCAGGCGCGGCCAGGAATCGAGCTGCGGTCGGCAGAGCTCCGCCTCCCGAGGAGCTGAGACCCCCCGCGGGGCCGCCGGCCTCCGCTCGGTACCTTCGTTCTTACCGAGCGCCGTGGTCTGCAACGTGGAGACCAGACGCTTCTCGATGGACAGTTGTGAAGGGGCGACGCTGAGCGGCGCCGTGTGGGCCGCGGGCCGGTGTCGGCGCTGTGCCACCGTCACCTCCAGGACGAAGACCATCTCGTCTTCCATGCTTTCTTTGCTTGAACGTTTGGACCTCTGGACACTCTCTTATGGCCATTTCACCTTGGGCCTCGAAAGTGTAGGTGGACATGAGTGAGTGTGTTTCAGGTGGACTGTCTGCTTAGATTATCCATCTCTTGACTTCATCTGTGACCTTGCACAGCACTAATATTTGTGAACTTACAGCTCCCAGTCATTTCCAGGGACCTCTGTCTTCTGAGGACGTGCGCCTCATTTTACATTTTGGATGGGTTCAGATTCACTGCTCGTTGCAAGAACAACGTATAGAATCAATTGGTCAGTGTCGGGCTTCATTCTTTCCCTTACCTTTCCTTTCTCCATATTGATCTCAGTCTCTGGTTGTGACAACACTGAGTCTCTTCAGACTGGAGACACAGGCTGGCATTTGCGCACAAGCCCATCCCCAGAGGGCCCATCGTGTTTTAGGCAGAGTGAGCTAAGAAGCAGGCTACGGGTCCACAACCTGCTTTTATGTCCTCAATCCAACACCACACTGAGTTTTTAAGATTTATTTTTATTACCTAATCCTTACCTAACAGTATTGACTTTTTTATTATTTATTTTTCCTGGGGAGAGTCCTGTGGCCAGGACAGCATCATATTGAATTGAGGAAAAGGAATTAAATGTGGCAACATTTTCTTTTGGGAAATATCGACTTCTGTGAATCCTACTGGGATTACATTTCATAACAAAAATTTCACAACTCACCATGTGTGCCTTGCTATGAAATCAGTTGTTTCTGAGCATAGAGAGGCAGTCGGGTAGTCTGGTGTTCACTCTGACCTCCGTGACATGGAGTACAAGGAAGAGGTCTGGGACTGTGTCCCCTCCTCCCACCATTGGAGTGTGGCCTGCATGCTGCCCTCCAGCCTCTCTTACTGTCCACAGGATGTGTGATATGTACCACAATGACAATAGGTTGCCGCCTCCGCTGTCTCTCATGATGTTCATGTCATGTAGCACTCCCCATGGTTCAGCTTTCCTCAGCAGCCTGCAAGGTGCCCCAAGGACCCAGGTAGAACACTGGAGACTTCCAGAGTCCAGGACTCTCCCAGTACTGTAAAGTTCATGGTATGGGGTTTTCTGTTTGTTTTGGTTGTGGTATAGAGGTTTGAACTAAGGGTCTCATGCCCTCTTTTGCCTCTGCCCCACTTGAGCCATGTCCCTAGTCCTACTTTGAAAGTCAGCTTTCCTTTGTAGCTGATCCAGAGTGATTGTGCATAATCACGGGTCCAGTATGTATTGTGGATGACCAGACTAGCTCAGCTGATGAATCTGTCACCCAGACTGCCACTGTTTCTTTGTGGTGGTGAGAACATTCAAAATCTTGAGGTTCTTTTTCTTCTTAAAATTGTTCATAAAGGTGATGTACACAGGGGTGACAGTTACATAAGTAAGGCAATGAATGCATTTCTTTTTGGACAATGTCATCCTTTCCCTCACTTTCTATTTCTGTGAGAGTTTCCTTTTACAAAAGCAATAGAGTGAGAAGTTCAAGCCAGGGTTATAAAAGTTATGCCAGGGTTTCCGTGTTTATATTAATTATGCTGGGGCTTTGACCACACAAAGATACAGAGCCATTTAGCTGCCATAGGACATTGGAAAGTCTTGAAACAAATATGTCAATTCAGAGATACTACAGTGAGGATGGCTATCAACAAGACACCAGTTTCTCTACCAGTAGCAGCTGCCTTCTGTAGACTCAGTGGTTCCAGGGTGATTCCTCCCCCACTCTTCTCCCTTTTCCCCTCTGCCCCTGCCCCATCCTCATCAGCTCTGTTTGTTCTCAGCCAGGAATCATGGGTGGTCACTGACCCCAGCCTGACTTGGGGCCAGGCTGCTGCAGAGTGCACATGTGTGGCTGTGCATGTATGTAACACAGACATGCAATGTACACATGTGTAGACATGCACACAACATACAGATATGTATGTATCTTTGTGGACACATGTAATATGCACAAGTGCATACATGTATAACCATACACAAGTGTATTCACACATACACATGAGTACACACACAACACACAGGACATACATGTACACAATACATACAAAACTGTACATACAAACATATACATGCATATAACTTGTGGTGTCCAAACATGCAATACACACATACATATACAAGTGTACATACACATCACTATACTTTAATACATACTTTAATACAATTGTACATATACATGTAATAGAAGTATGTACATACATTAATACAAGTGTACATATACGTGTAATACAAGTATGTAAATACATATGCAAGAAAACTGTTTTCTTACTTAGCGGGAAGGGGAGGTGGGTATGGCTTACTGGAGGTAGGAAGCAGAGTATAGGTAGGTGGTTAGAGATGCACAGGGTAATGACAAGGCCACAAGCCAACACAGCTGAGCCCTGTGGCCCTGAGAGAGAAGCTGGGCCCCAGACTTGTGGGAGGCTGGCTTTGTGCCCCTCCATATCTGGAGACTGGGGGTCGGGTCCACCTGGAGCAGCTCGTTGCACTGACCATTGTAACAGGGACCACTTCATCCACATGGCAAACTGCTTTTCCCAGCATGGGCCTGGGGGTCAACTTAGGAAGAGCCTGCAGATGGTGTCTGCAGAAAAATGGTTGCTGCCAGCATCTGTGAGCCATCGGCAGGAGGTGGGAGCCAGGGGCATCGCAGCCTTTAAAATGTGTTTCTCCCATGAACCTCCTATGAGCCTTCGCACTTGCGGGAGGCAAGTGCCAGGGGCAGCACAGACTTTAAACGTGCATTTCTCCCATGAAAAGAACTTTCCTCCTGAGAATTTAGTTTAAAACATATAATTTGAGATGTGCAAAAAAATTAGCTTCAAGTTCCATTTGAAATATTCTTTCAAAATTTTAAAGAACATCTTACAACTCAGCAGAGGAGCTTGTTTTAAAAAGCTATGAACTCTGTTAGGATGTAACTGTGAAGATATAAAAATGACAATGTACAAGTGTATTTATGGACATGGAAGGAAATTCATGAAGCAGTAAATGTTTTCTTCAAGTGTTTATCAACCCATATATACAAGATGGTTCTTTGTAAAATGTATTCACAAAAAAGATTTTGGTGGGTCTGGACAGGGAAAAAGAAGGGCCACGGTGAAGGTTTGCATTTGCAAGCCTGGGAGTGGACTGCATGGGATCTGACCTCAGCCAGTCACTAGACTGTCTACATCAGGTATTTAGTGAACCTTTGGCAGACATGAGCCAGCAGTCCTCAGTGCACTTTTGCTTCTGAGTGGCTTGTACATATTCTGCTTCCACCAGCTTACCCACCTCTTTCTGTCCTCAGGGGTCACGTTTTCCTTTTTCTGGAAGACACAAGGCGAGCAGTCCAGACCGGTCTCCTCTGCCTATGGGGGACAGGTCATCTCTGATGGCTTCAGAGTCTGCTCCAGTGGTGGCAAAGGCTCCGTGGAGCTGTACACGCGTGACAACTCCATGACATGGGAGGCTACCTTCAGCCCTCCAGGTGAGTGGTGTCTCTAGCCCAGAGCTCCTGATGCTGTTGTGACAGCAGGACCCGGCGGAGCCTGTGGGGGCGCATGAGCAAGGAGTCCCTGGGAGGGCATGAAGCCTGTGACAAGGGGTTCAGAGCTGGGCCAGGCAGTCCTGACTGGGAGCTCACTGCAAGCTGCTGTGTGCATTGTGGAGTGGAGGTGGGAATGGAATAGAACCTGCAAGCAAAGGGCAATGGGAGAACCAGCTTAGGCCTTGCGTCCAAACTCCAGGGAATCCTGTCAGGCCTCACCCTAATATACCACATAAAGATCAGAGAAAGGAGGCTCATTCACACCATAGGCAGTGCAAGAAGAGGCAGGATACGCATTTCAGCCCGTCTTCCCTGTACAGGCAAGCACTGGGGCTTTAGTAGAAGAACTGGGCCCATGGGAAGGGATGTATAGTACCAAATAGCTCTGGGCCCCTGGTCTCCGTTGGGCCCCTGGTTTTGGTTGTCCCTCATCTTGGTATTGGTCAGGGGGCCTTGTTACAGTGCCAGCGGTTGCTGCATGGCTGGTGCTGTTAGGGGAGGCACTGCTCTTCCTTGCTTGCAGATAATTTCTGTTGTAAAAATGTTATCCATGAGTCCTGGAACTTGCTGGATTCTAAGTAATTGCAAGAGAGGCAGACCCAGAACACCGGTGGTCTCGGTGGAGGAGGAGGAGCACTGAGAACTGGTGGTCTTGGTGGTGGAGGAGCACTGAGGATCGGTGGTCTTGGTGATGGTGGAGGAGGAGCACTGGAGACCGGTGGTCTTGGTGGTGGAGGAGGAGCACTGAGGACTGGTGGTCTCGGTGGAGGAGGAGGAGCACTGAGGACTGGTGGTCTTGGTGGTGGTGGAGGAGGAGCACTGATGACTGGTGGTCTTGGTGGTGGAGGAGGAGCACTGAGGACTGGTGGTCTTGGTGGTGGAGGAGGAGCACTGAGGATCGGTGGTCTTGGTGGTGGTGGAGGAGCACTGATGACTGGTGGTCTTGGTAGTGGTGGAGGAGCACTGAGGACTGGTGGTCTTGGTGGTGGAGGAGCACTGAGGACTGGTGGTCTTGGTGGGGGAGGAGGAGCACTGAGGACTGGTGGTCTTGGTGGAGGAGGAGCACTGAGGACTGGTGGTCTTGTTGGTGGTGGAGGAGGAGCACTGAGGACTGGTGGTCTTGGTGGTGGTGGAGGAGCACTGAGGACTGGTGGTCTTGGTGGTGGTGGAGGAGGAGCACTGAGGACCGGTGGTCTTGGTGGTGGTGGAGGAGCATTGAGGACTGGTGGTCTTGGTGGTGGTGGTGGAGGAGCACTGAGGACCGGTGGTCTCGGTGGTGGAGGAGGAGGAGCACTGAGGACCGGTGGTCTTGGTGGTGGTGGAGGAGGAGCACTGATGACTGGTGGTCTTGGTGGTGGTGGAGGAGGAGCACTGAGGACTGGTGGTCTTGGTGGAGGAGGAGCACTGAGGACTGGTGGTCTTGGTGGTGGTGGTGGAGGAGCACTGATGACTGGTGGTCTTGGTGGTGGTGGAGGAGCACTGAGGACTGGTGGTCTTGGTGGTAGTGGAGGAGCACTGAGGACCGGTGGTCTTGGTGGTGGAGGAGCACTGAGGACTGGTGGTCTCGGTGGTGGTGGAGGAGCACTGAGGACTGGTGGTCTTGGTGGTGGTGGAGGAGGAGCACTGAGGACCGGTGGTCTTGGTGGTGGTGGAGGAGGAGCACTGATGACTGGTGGTCTTGGTGGAGGAGGAGCACTGAGAACTGGTGGTCTTGGTGGTGGTGGAGGAGCACTGAGGACTGGTGGTCTTGGTGGTGGTGGAGGAGGAGCACTGAGGACTAGTGGTCTTGGTGGTGGTGGAGGAGGAGCACTGAGGACTGGTGGTCTTGGTGGTGGTGGAGGAGGAGCACTGAGGACTGGTGGTCTTGGTGGTGGTGGAGGAGCATTGAGGACTGGTGGTCTTGGTGGTGGTGGAGGAGGAGCACTGAGGACTGGTGGTCTTGGTGGTGGTGGAGGAGGAGCACTGATGACTGGTGGTCTTGGTGGTGGTGGAGGAGGAGCACTGATGACTGGTGGTCTTGGTGGAGGAGGAGCACTGATGACTGGTGGTCTTGGTGGTGGTGGAGGAGGAGCACTGAGGACTGGTGGTCTTGGTGGAGGAGGAGCACTGATGACTGGTGGTCTTGGTGGAGGAGGAGGAGCAGTGAGGATCGGTGGTCTTGGTGGTGGAGGAGGAGCACTGAGGACTGGTGGTCTTGGTGGTGGAGGAGCACTGAGGATCGGTGGTCTTGGTGGTGGTGGAGGAGGAGCACTGAGGACCGGTGGTCTTGGTGGAGGAGGAGCACTGAGGACTGGTGGTCTTGGTGGAGGAGGAGCACTGATGACTGGTGGTCTTGGTGGTGGTGGAGGAGGAGCACTGATGACTGGTGGTCTTGGTGGTGGAGGAGGAGGAGCACTGAGGACTGGTGGTCTTGGTGGAGGTGGAGGAGGAGCGCTGATGACTGGTGGTCTTGGTGGTGGAGGAGGAGCACTGAGGACTGGTGGTCTTGGTGGTGGTGGAGGAGGAGCACTGAGGACCGGTGGTCTTGGTGGTGGTGGAGGAGGAGCACTGAGGACCGGTGGTCTTGGTGGTGGAGGAGGAGGAGCACTGAGGACTGGTGGTCTTGGTGGAGGAGGAGGAGCACTGAGGACTGGTGGTCTTGGTGGTGGTGGAGGAGGAGCACTGAGGACTGGTGGTCTTGGTGGTGGAGGAGCACTGAGGATCGGTGGTCTTGGTGGTGGTGGAGGAGGAGCACTGAGGACCGGTGGTCTTGGTGGAGGAGGAGCACTGAGGACCGGTGGTCTTGGTGGAGGAGGAGCACTGAGGACTGGTGGTCTTGGTGGAGGAGGAGCACTGATGACTGGTGGTCTTGGTGGTGGTGGAGGAGGAGCACTGATGACTGGTGGTCTTGGTGGTGGAGGAGGAGGAGCACTGAGGACTGGTGGTCTTGGTGGAGGTGGAGGAGGAGCGCTGATGACTGGTGGTCTTGGTGGTGGAGGAGGAGCACTGAGGACTGGTGGTCTTGGTGGTGGTGGAGGAGGAGCACTGAGGACCGGTGGTCTTGGTGGTGGTGGAGGAGGAGCACTGAGGACCGGTGGTCTTGGTGGTGGAGGAGGAGGAGCACTGAGGACTGGTGGTCTTGGTGGAGGAGGAGGAGCACTGAGGACTGGTGGTCTTGGTGGTGGTGGAGGAGGAGCACTGAGGACTGGTGGTCTTGGTGGTAGTGGAGGAGGAGCACTGAGGACTGGTGGTCTTGGTGGAGGAGGAGGAGCACTGATGACTGGTGGTCTTGGTGGTGGTGGAGGAGCACTGAGGACTGGTGGTCTTGGTGGAGGAGGAGCACTGAGGACTGGTGGTCTTGGTGGTGGAGGAGGAGCACTGAGGACTGGTGGTCTTGGTGGTGGAGGAGGAGGAGCACTGAGGACTGGTGGTCTTGGTGGTGGTGGAGGAGCATTGAGGACTGGTGGTCTTGGTGGAGGAGGAGGAGCACTGATGACTGGTGGTCTTGGTGGAGGAGGAGCACTGAGGACTGGTGGTCTTGGTGGTGGAGGAGGAGCACTGAGGACCGGTGGTCTTGGTGGTGGAGGAGCACTGAGGACTGGTGGTCTTGGTGGTGGAGGAGGAGGAGCACTGAGGATCGGTGGTCTTGGTGGTGGTGGAGGAGGAGCACTGAGGACTGGTGGTCTTGGTGGAGGAGGAGGAGCACTGAGAACTGGTGGTCTTGGTGGTGGAGGAGCACTGAGGACTGGTGGTCTTGGTGGTGGAGGAGGAGCACTGAGGATCGGTGGTCTTGGTGGTGGAGGAGGAGCACTGAGGACTGGTGGTCTTGGTGGTGGAGGAGGAGCACTGAGGACTGGTGGTCTTGGTGGTGGAGGAGGAGCACTGAGGATCGGTGGTCTTGGTGGTGGTGGAGGAGCACTGAGGACCGGTGGTCTTGGTGGTGGTGGAGGAGCACTGAGGACCGGTGGTCTTGGTGATGGTGGTACTAGGGACACTGGAAAGAGGCAGAGATGCTGAGATGCTGAGCTTGATGGGGGTGGGAAGGTCCTCAGGTTCTTATTAAGGCCTTGAAGATCATCTACTGGGCCTGAGGCTGAGGTGTAGGGAGAAAACAAGGAAGGCTAGGGAGGGTCCACAGTGGACTTTGAAAAGGCAGAGACTTGGCCATGGGGGATTTCAGTTGGCAGGCCAGGAGGGGACCAGAAAGGGCTGGGCAAAGGTGGAGGGGGGGAGGAAGCTGAAGATGGAGGCCTCCGTAGAAAAGAGGTACCTTTGAAGTATTTTGGGAAATTTATTTCTGGTTCATTCGAGGGAAGTTGTGACTCACTTATTACATGGTCTACCTAGATTCCACCTCTGTGCCTTGCAGTGTGTGGAATCAGGTTCTTACCACCTGTGCTTGGGTCTTTCATTTGCAGTTGAGGCCATAACATGCCTCTACCTGTGCTCCTAACACACACTCTAGATTTGCCCTCTTGGATCCCCACGGCCGCCTATACTCCGCCGTACATAGTACTATTGGAACCTCAGCTGTGACCCATACCACCTCTTGCTTGCTGTCAGAGTTGTGTGTGTATAAGAGCCTCATCCCAGTGCACCTTGGGACAATCATGCGAGGCACCTGGCAGGTTCTTTGAACTTTAACACGTGTTAAGATAAACTACTGTTTTCACGCAGGGAAATGGAGAGATTTTGTAAACATCTCTGCAGGGAAATATGTTCTTCATTTGTACATTAAAGGGATTTGTTATTCTCATTTTCAGAATCCAGAGTAATAATACTGTGGGCCTGTTTAGGATCCCAGTGTCCTCCAGAGACTCAAAATTATTTAGAATGTTTCACAATCCTGAGTGAGAAGCCCTGATGTAATTGCTGGTCATCCTCAATGGCTAGGTGGCGGGTGCTGTGTTTTTTAGAAGGGCTGCCCTGTTTCTCTGCAGCAAGCCCATTAGAACTTCTTACAGAGCTCATAAACAAAAGGGCCCCTTTGGGCACCAGCAAGCTGCCCTCAAAGTGGTATAAGATCTTCTCATACATGAACATGGCTCTCAGGCCAGAAGAGGAGGGGCTTCCTGATGATGAGACAGGTGGCCAGAAGAGAAGGGGCTTCCTCATGATGGGCTGGTCTAGCCTACCACACTTGCCTAGATGGCTCTTGTAATACATTCTGTGCCATAGCTAAGACCGATACCACAGGCCATGGGCCCAGGACCTCAGAGGTTTTATAGTCCTGTTCTGTGATTGCCTAAGTAGTATTAAAAATACTTTGGATGAGTTTCAGCCATTATTTATGATTTCATTTTAGCATGAGGGTTTCCCAGTTTTGCTTGGAAATAAAAAGACCGGCAGTACATGGGCTTGATCTCTGGTGTGAATGGTGGGTGCAGGTCTGCCTTCCAGATGGGGCAACCAACCTCAGTTGGCCAGTCAGCATCCAGACCCGGTCCTCAAGGAGGCTTCCACTCTCAGCTGCTCCCTGCTGCAGCTCTTTGGCGTCTGCTGGCTTGGCCAGTACAGCTGGATGGTGTGCTGTTGTGGTTCTCAACAGACCTTTCAATCCACAGCAGAACTCAGTGCAAAGAATAGAGCGATCCTATGTGTCTCCACCTCTGCCCACAGTTGGCACCCACAGGTGCTGCTGGCCTGCATTAACACATCATGGTCATACAGAGTTCACCTGAGGTCCACTCCTGGTGTTCCTTGGCTTAGGCCTTGTGTATAGGCTTGTGTGACCTGCCTAGCTCAGTTCTTCTTGTTGTGGTCAGTGTATTCAGGCTTTTTACATAGTCACATACCATCTGCAAACAAAGATAGCTTATTATATCTTTCTCAACCTGTGTATACATTTTTCCTCTTTTTTTTTTTTGCCATCTTGCATTAGCCAGGACTGGCAGTAGGAAGTTGAAAAGTTGTGAGAGCACCCTTGTCTTGTTCCTGACAATGAGCTCATGGTCTGAGTGGCTGAGGCTCTTTGTCTTGCCTTAATTTTTTTTTTTATCAACCTTCGTCAGGATTTAAATTCGTGACTCGCATGTGAAAATTCAAGGGTAGAAGCAAAAGAACTGCTAAAACTGACTAAACTTGTGCCTCAGGCCCTACATTAAGTTACCAGTCATCCTGAGAGAGGAGGCTGTTCTCAGAGCCCGAGGCACAACACTCCTTCCGATGGCTCTCACAAGTGTCTCTCTTTTCCAGGTCCCTATTGGACTCACATCTTGTTTACATGGAAATCCAAGGAGGGCCTGAAAGTCTATGTCAATGGCACCCTGAGCACCTCTGATCCGAGCGGAAAAGTGTCACACACCTACGGCGAGCCCCACGTCAACCTGGTGATTGGGTCTGAGCAGGACCACAGCAAGCGATATGAGAACGGAGCTTTTGACGAGTTCATCATCTGGGAACGGGCCCTGACTCCAGACGAGATTGAGATGTACTTCACAGCCGCCATTGGTCAGTGAGTGGGCGGCCTGTGGGCGGGGCCACTGGCCAGTGAGCGAGTGGCTGTGGGCGGGGCCACTGGCCCGTGAGTGGGAGGGCTGAGGTGGGATGAGGGCTGGTCTTGGGGCCCTCTTCTAGCAACCCTCCTTCCCAGTCTCCTGGGTCACAGCCGGCAGTGCTGCAGGTGTGAGCTATATCATAATGAGCCTGATAAATACAGTTGTTTTCCAGAACACCTGTTCCCTAAGATAAATTCACCAATTCACCAGAGATACTCTGGGATTAATACTCTCCTGAGTACTACAGGGCTTCGAGGTGTATGTGATGGGTGGTTTCAGAAAGGTTTGGATAATAAACATGGGGTGCATTAGTGCATTTGGTCCACAAACCTCTCCTGAGCCATTTTCCCTGATCAGCCCTGTGAGCCCCAAAGATGCCCCTTCCAGGTTGGTACAGAGCAGGGGCTGTGGGCAGGTGGACCAAGGTTCAGACTTTTACTGTGCTAAACATGGGGCTTTTTAAAGTTTGTGGTAAAAAGTAAATCCCATTAACAACCATTTAAAAGTGAGTAATTTAGTGTCATTTAGCAAATTAAATCTGCAGTGTGTGGCCACTACCCTCATCTAGTTTCAAAACATTGGACTCTCCCAAAGGAAACCCTGTGCCCCTTTGGCAGTCACCTGCCATTTCCCTCCTTCCAGCCTCTGGCAGCCACAGACCCGTCTGTCTGCCCCATGGCCTGCCCGTTCTGTCGATTCCATACGAATAGAATTGTACAATGTTTATCTCTCTGTTCATAGCTTTCTCCTTTGTAAAATTGGGTAAAGATACCGTCACCTCCTTTCCTGGGGGTGTTGCAAAGACAAAGTGTGACAAATTACCAGGCCACTGGCACCATGCAAGGAACGTGGCATGTTGCCAGAGAGCCTTTGATGGATTTAAAATTAATATGCATGATTCTATCACCATTGTGCCCACCACTTCTTTGTTTACACAGAGAGCAGTCTGTCAGGAAATGACAGTCACCATGTGTGCCCCTTACACATTTGGTGAGCTGCCCTGGCACCCAGGGGCAGTTAGGACCCATGCGGTGGGAGCCAGGTCCCACAGCCTGGTCCACCCTTGATCAGGACCTGACCTCATTGGGCCACTATTGACTGGGTGGGAGAAACCCAGGTCAGAACCACTTCAGCCAAGAAGACCATTTGTTATTTTGCTGTTTTCCTATCTCACACAATGAAAAGTCTAGGGGAGAATTTGCTTCAGAACTGGTTCCGTTCATGTCCCAATCTCTGCTACTATGAGTCTGTCTTGACACTGCCTTTGTCCGTATTAAATGGTCTTGTGGCTGCCAAGATGGCTGTGTCCCCTCATGGGCCACATCCTCTCCCCTCAGCAACCTCAGCAGAAATACAGAGCCTCCCTTCCCCATCACCTCCCACAGCTGGGTGGGACCTGAGTGTGGTTGGCTTGTTCAGCTAATTCCTGTGGTTGCATATGATAGTTCTGATTAGCTATTCCTGAGTCCAACTCATCCCTGGACACAGCAGGGGTCAGCCTGGTCCAAACCCAAAGGATGATTGGAGATGTGGGCCTCAGAAGAGGGAGCAGTGTCCAGGGCAGCTCTGGGCATTTCTGTCCTGTAGCCTTCACCAAGGAAAATGGGACTCAGTTACTTTCACAGAAAGGATAGGATCATCGTGTCCAGTAGAAGGGAAAGTGGTATCAATGTTTTGCTTTTTGTTGCCCGGGACTCAAGAGTTGTCACTTTGAGACTAAGGTGTTGTTTGTATCACAAACAGATTTGACTTCCTGGCAGGTGCCTGTTTTACTGACATTGGGAATAGTTGCAGTTGTTTCCGGTCCTTTCCTCCAGGCCTTTTGTGCCCCAGGCCCTCTTGGACCCTCCACATGTAGGGAAGGTGATGTTAGATTCCATAGGAAACCCAGGACAGTGGCTCTGAACACTTAGAGCTCCTGAGATAATTCCTGTGCCTGTCCCAAGCTGTGTCCATAGCCATCAGCTCCTTTCTCATGCAGAGACTGGGTTTTGGAGACCAAGCTTTTGAAGAAAACTGAAGAAGGCCTCTGGAAGGTCCTGTGTGTGGCCCAACTCTTCATGGCTCAGCTGGCTCAACATGACAGGGCTGGGGCAGCTATGCACAGGCTGACATTGGAGCTGAAATCCAGCCTGTAGAAACTGTTCTTAGGCAGCTGTGAGGGGACCTCAGATTCTCAGAGAAGGCATTGCTATGAGTGCCCTGTCTGAGGCGCCTCCTTCTAACCCCATCAGCTGGAGCCGATGCCGTTTCCTGATGGACCTGTCCAGGTGCATAGGAGCGGCCTTTCCCTAGAAAGGCAGAGTGCTGACCATCTGTCACCCTGCCCTGGCCGCTGGGATGAGAAGCAGCTCCTCTGTAGGGAAGTGGAGAAAGTGAAGGCTGTGCGCAGAGCCATGCAATTTGAAGACATGCGTCTGTGTATGCCAGGAACACACTGCATCTGCCAGCTGCCTGCAGGGTGGGGCAGTGTGGGGCTGAGCTAGGCCGAGTGTTGCTTCTCAGGCTTCACGTGGTCACCACCAACAGGGGAGACTTTACTTTCCCTGGATTTAGTGGCCTCACATGAGTTAGTGTAAGTTTGCTGTGGCTACTCTCTAACCCCTTGGAGCGAATGTCTCTCTGACATAGAGAACAAAGCTCTTCTATCAGTGTCAGGACTGCCCCTCCTGTCACCCAGCCAAACCCAAAGCCCTGACACTTCCAAGCCAGCAAGGGAAGTAATATAATTTCCTCAGGTCACCTAAAGCAATCTTGAGTTAGTTTCCAAGAATGAAGAGGATTATCTAGGAAGTCGGTGGAAGAGACAGACCAGTAATGTGGCCTCACCTTGGTCTCAGAGATCATAGTGACATGAAGTCATCTCTGTGAGCTCCTCTGCCCACTCTTTGGGGTTCAGTCTCCCTTCCTCTCTCCCAGGGGAAGCACTGCTCTTTATCTCCGGCAAGTCTGTGCCTCTTTTCCTGTCCTTATTTATAGTTGGTGATACCTTGAATAATTTTTTTTTTTTTTGTCGGTCATGGGGTTTGAACTCTGGCTTGGGCACTGTCTGCACTCTTCAGCTCAAGGTGAGCGCTCTACCACTTGAGCCACAGCGCCACTTCCAGTTTTCTAGTGATTTATTGGAGATAAGAGTCTCACGGAGTTTCCTGCCTGGGCTGGCTTTGAACTGTGGTCCTCAATCTCAGCCTTCTGAGTAGCTAGGATTACAGACGTGAGCCACTGGCACGCGGCTTAATAATTATTTTTATATGATAACTTGCATGAAGGCTGTTCAAAACAGTTTATTTATTTTTGTTGGTCATGGGACCTGGGCACTGTCTCTGAGCTCTTCAGCTCAAGGCTAGCATTTGAGCCACAGCGCCACTTCTGGCTTTTTCTGCTTATGTGGTGCTAAGGAATCGAATCCAGAGCCTCATGCATGCAGGGCAAGCACTCTACCACTGAGCCACCTTCCCAGTCCTCAAAACAGTTTAGAATATAAGTGGGAAAATAATTTAAGCTGGGAGAATCTACATACTCTAGCTATGTTAATTAATCTAGCCAATATATTAATCTTATCTTTCAAGCAACATTCCTACTCCAGACATTTTGAGCTGTATGAATATCTCTAGCTGGTAACTTCTAAATAAGGACAGAACTTCCTGAGGGGAGGAAGGGCAGTCCTGTTGCACCTTTGCTGAGGCATGGTTGGTTTGTTCCAGGAAAACATGCTTTGTCTTCAACACCACCGAGCTTCTTCGTGACCCCCACAGCCTACACCATGGTGAGCTGGGATTTCTTTTGTCCTCATGTGTCCGCAGCTTTCCACCTCTGTGACCAGATAGCAGGAAGACAGCCGGGGGGGGGGGGCGGCGGGGGGGAAGCTTTATTTAGACTCATGGTTTCAGAGGCTCAGTTCAGGGTGGGCCGGTTCCTTTGCTTGAGTCTGAGTCTGAAAGGCTGAAGCATCATAGTGGAGTGGAGGAAAGCTGTCCATTTCCTGGCAGCTGAGAAAGGTAGACATAGACAAGATATGCCCTTCCCAGGTACACCCCCAGGGATCTGCCCAGGAGCCCTCCATGCCAGGAGCACATTCAGGGTGAGGCTAGCAGCTTCACGTCAGTCCATGCCAGGAGTGTGTTCAGGTGCGGCTAGCAGCCTAACATCAGTCTCTCTCTCCTCCTGCCCCGCCCCCCCCAACATTCAGGTTTTGCTTAGCCTGAGTGCTCTCAGACTAGGAGTGCAGTGTCTGAGAAGAAATAACAAATGGCTGGAGGGAAGCCAGCTTCGGGGCTGATTCTAGGTGCCAAGAGTGCCTGAAGAAAGGACACTCTTCGTTACTATCTCTAGTCACCTCCATTACCTAAAAGTGAAGGGAGCAGAGCAGAGCTCCACCAGGGCTGCCTCCTGCTCAGCTCCCCCATCCTGTCTTTCCTTTTGGAATTGGAGGAAAGGATTCATAGAAAAAGTATTGCCCACTCAAACTTGCATGAGTAGCCAAAGAACTCTCTTTGTCTGAGAGATTCAGTGGCAAGTATGCACTCGAGTGTCTGCATGGGCTGGAGTCCTAGTCCTCTTGTGTCCTGTGAGCTTCTCCTCTGTCTCTGCATCCCTGTCAGCCTCTCCCCGTCCCCCATCTGCCTTTCCTCAGTACCCCCAACCCCATCAGCCTCTCCCCTGTCTCCTCTCACCCCCACATCCCTGTCAGTCTCTTTCCAGGCCTCCCCACCCCACCCCATCCGTCAGCCTCTCCCTGGTGCTATCATGTCTAAGCTGGTCTACACTCAGTTCATGGACTGAATCACCTTAGTTGTGGGGATGTAGTGCTGTGCCTCAGAGTGCCATGTCATTACTATCTTGGGATCCTAGCCGTGGCTCCAGTGTATGACCCTGTACTTGTACAGTTTGTCTGGCTTTAGTGCTCAGCAGAAGGTCACGTGGCCAATTTCCTTCAGGTGCCCACAGATGCCTACCATCCCATCATAGCCAATCTCACAGAGGAGAGGAAGAACTTCGAAAGACCTGGAATTGTACTGCGTTATCTTCAAAATGTGTCACGCAGCCTACCCAACAAGTCCCTCTCTGAAGAAACAGCACTGAACCTCACGGAGGTAACAGAGCCCAGGAATCACTAGTCTTGTTAAAAACAGGACCAGGGCCTTGACCTAAACATTGATGGTACAGCTGGTGCCTTGTATGTATTCAATCATAATACACACCCACCCCCTCCGTGCTGCTGCTTCCCTACCCGCTTGGGCCTCCTGTCAGGGAAGGGAAGAGTAAGTGGACAGAGCACCTGACTGGATGTGGGTGTGTGGGGCGCTGGCCTGTGGGCACTGATGAATGTGTCACAGCTGCATCCTCACAGTGGGCTGGCTTTACTATGACATCCACATGGTGGTCACTGGTTTTACAGTGACCGAACGGGATGGCGTCTATAAGATACAGCCTGATACTTCAATGCGCTAATGTGAGCCACTATTGCTTTCCACTGTATGCAAAACACAGCCTTTGACCCCTAGAGGCCTGGTGGGTTCCAAGTGGAGGCCTCAGGGTGTGCACTAACCAGGGCCACTTTCCCCCGTAGACCTTCCTCAGAACGGTGGGCGAAGTTCTTCTCCTGCCCAGCTGGACCTACACATCAGAGGTAAGAGAAGAAACAGTTTGATCTGAAGATGTGTGTGCCAGGGAACCATTCTGTCTTCCTAGAAGTGGCATGACAGCCCTGCCCAGATCTAGCTGCCTTCTGGAATGCCGAGCTCATTTTACCAGGGTATCAGCTGACCTCTGCCTAGCAGAGGGCCCTGTAGCATCAGTCATTGATGTGTCCCTGTCCTGTGGGAGGAGTGGGGTGACTTCTTTCCTTTCAGGAGTTGATCTTTGTCATTTTCTGCATTATACTTTTAAAACGTCATATCATTCTTGAATAGTACTGAAGAAACATATTTGGTATTTACAGATCTCTGAGTAAAGCGAAAATAGAGCATGCTATGGTGTTACAATTAAAGTGTGGAAACAAGAAGCTCTTGTTCTCTGCAGCTAAAATAACCAGGGAGCAGGCAGAGCGGTTTTCTTTTATTTCTAAAAAACTTATTGATTTTACCTGTTTAAAGCATATGTCAGTAAATAACTATGGAGAAGTTGGAAAGCGACAATCATAAAAAAGTACGTAGCATGAAAATCACCTCAAAGGTTAAGACTAAGTCAGCGTTGTGTACATCCCTTATAGTTTAGTTTCAGTTCTCACATATGCATCTACATTACACACACACACACACACACACACACACACACACACACACACACACACACGTATGTCTGACTGAGCCTATTTTTCCTTAGAATCTTCTGCATGCTGTGTGTTAGTCAGGATGGGTTTGACTACTACAGTAACAACAGAGCCCCACGTTGCAGCAGCCTAGCTCAGAGGACGCCTACTTTTCAGGCACAGGAGTCTGCCCTGGGTCAGAGGAGACTCCTCTCCATGCAGTGTCTCAGGCCCTGGCTCTACTGTCCATCTTCTGTTGCCAGGGTAACATGTGGCTTTGGGTTGCTGGCAGGACTTCCAAGCCTTGGCCCTGAAGGGTCTGGACCAGAAGTACCTGTTACAGCATTCTTGCCCCTGACCCTTCACCATTACATGTATTCTAGACTGATTTCCAGCTCTAGAGGCAGTGTCTCATTCCCTTCTTTATTAATAAGGCTGAGTGAGTTGTTTGCATTTGGTGAGCTGCTTATTTGAACAACTTCAAATGAAATGAGATTGTTGAACATTGGCAGAAGCAGAAGAAAGTGTTTAGAATGTAAGTCAGTACAGTATTACTGAGAAACAGATTCTCTCTTTAAGAAAGCACTACTCCTCAAGGTTTTAATTTCAAAAGGATGCTGTGAACAGGCTACAGCCAGGGAGTCACAAGGGGACAGCAGGTGGGGGACTCAGACAGATGAGTTTCTGCATTCATTGAAATGAACTGTTTTTGAATGCAAAATATGGAGATCTTCTGCAAAATATGAATAATCATGGAACTCTATGGGCTTCGGCAGGCTCTGATGTGCATTAAAGAGAATTAAGTATCTGCTCCCAACTGAAATGCACACAGACCCTTGTGTGCAGAGCTGCTTGGCTGATTGAAATCAGGCCACCTGCCTAAAGATGATGCCTAAAATTGGCCTCTGCATTCTATTTCCAGCTCATTGAGTTCTCCAAAGAATGGATTGGTGAGGGACTGTGGAAGGCTGAGACAGATATGTCATCTGCAAGGCTAAAGGTGGGAGGAGAGACAGGGAAGGCAGAGCAGGGCCTGGTACAGGGAGTCTAAGAACAGACTCTTTTCCTTGTTCTGTCCTCAAGGACCCAGAAGGGTCAGCCTGAGGTGGACATAGGGTCTGGCAGCAGAGCTGTGTAAACTGGAGGGACCTGATCTTCCAAGGGCAGTGTCAGGGCTCCTCTCTCTCTGGGGATGCAGAGGGGTAGAAAGGGCCTTAGATGGAGAGTGGAGGAAGCCAGAGAAGATGCAGTCTCCAGTGCTTCCAGTATGTGGTACTTCTGAACCAGCCAGCCCTTCACAGAGTACTGCCAGTGTCCTAAGGCTGGGGAGGCCCAGGGCCACTGGCTGTCCTCATGAAGTGGACGGGACTTGCTGAGGGCTTGGAGGGCTCAGAGTGTCTGTCTCAGCAGCAGTGGAGCAGGACTATGGTCAGTGTGACCCATGTCCATGCTCTGATCTCCTTGGGCCATGGCCATTTCCCAGCCTGCAGGCCGGGATGCTGGGACTCACCTCCCAGCCTGCGGGCCGGGATGTTGGGACTCGCCTCCCAGCCTGAGGGCCGGGATGCTGGGACTCGCCTCCCAGCCTGTGGGGTGGGATGCTGGGATGCTATTCTATATCCCAGCCTGTGGGGTGGGATGCTGAGACTGTCTCCATCTCCTTTCCTGAGGGGCGGGATGCTGGGACTTCACTTTCTGTGGCTTCTGTGGGAGGTGTGATTTTGTGCTCTCTGGTGACCGAGGGGACCCTCATGGCCCCTTCATGTCTGTTGCTTGCAGGAGAACACTTTGGTGCTAGGCCTGATCAACACCATCGACACTGTCATGGGCCATGTATCTTCCAACCTGCACTCCACCCCGCCTCAGGTCTTTCTGGCAGGCTCTTCCTCCCTGGCAGGTAGGTGTCACAACTGGGGGGACTGTGCAGGAAGGGTGTAGGGTGCTGGCCTGCTATGGTTCTTGCTGTTTGAGCCCCCAAAGTCAGGAGTTGAGGTGGACCTCACCATTTTCCTGAATCACAGTCCCCCTTGTACACAGTCATAGCTGAAGGCAAATGCACATGCGTATCAGGGTAGAGGTGTTATTCGTTATGTACACGTGAGCCTCACAGGAAAGGATTGTCTCATCGTGGCTGTCTAGGTTCAGAATGAAACAGAAGCCACAACCGAAGGTGGATGGTGAACAGCAGAATCGGGTTCCAATGACGGCATGGCTGGTATTCCCAGTCTCGTCTGTGAGCACTAACATTCTGTGGTACATACAGGAGCTGACACCACCTGCAGCTTACCACAGGGCAGCACTGGATGTCTGCCGGCCAGGAGGTCCACCTCCATGCTATGGTGGTCTGCCTGCTGCCCAAAGTTGAGGCCCTGATGTTTTCATCTTGCTACTCCTCATGGGCTCTCAGAGGTTGGACAGGACTGGCCAGCCACCTAGCATACGCTCCGTCATCGTGAGGCTACGTGCACACAATAACCATCTCACCCCTGCTTCCGTCATGGCTGACTATTGAGAGGGCTGACTGCAGAGGGCAGGAGCGAGGGCATTCTTTCAGCAAGAGCCTTTCTTTATGTGTGGTGCTTGCATGCACATGCCTGTGCTGACATGTCCATGCACATAGGTGTGTGCATGTGCATGTATCTGCTTACTACCACTTTTTCTCAGGGGACTTGCACTCCACAGGGAATTTACTTGGTTAAAGCAAATACCAGTGTGATTTTCAGCCTGTTTCCTGCAGCCTGTGAGCTTTCTGACCTGCTCCCCTCAACGTTCCTCCCATAGACTTCTCTGTGGCCAGGGTCCTGCCCCAGACCCTGAGCGCCCTTCACTACCGCTTCCCCGCCCATGGGCAGAGCTATATCGAGATTCCCCGTGAGGCCCTTCGCAGCCCAGGTAAGTGCGAATGGACTTTCTAAAGGATACCGGGGTGCTACTAGTGGGCTAAAGATCCCTGATGCCAGGACCCCCAAGTGCTGGACAGCCAAAGCCCTTGCTTGGGTGGGTGCCTCTGGAAGCCCTGACTGTGCCGTCCGTGGACTGGACAGGGATTCGCGATGGAGCTCTGGGAATCTGCATCCAGGTGGGTCTGGAGTGTCTCCAGGTCTGCTTAGCTCCTACCAGGCGAAGATAACAGCCTATCTCCTCTCCCTAGATAGAGTGCTATGGTTAGGTGAGGGGTTAGTTCAGGATCCAGGTACCAATACCATGCAACCTAAGTCAAGTCCTGTGACAAGCAACTCTGTGGGAGCCTGTCAGGGTGCAGGTCCCCTCTAGTGCCTGGAGAGGTGGATCTGCCTTCACAGGCTTACCCACTTGGACCATGAACAGTGGAGATGAATTCCTCGGCCTCAACACCTGGATACCTGGTCCTTGCCCAAGGGATGGAGCCCAGGCCAGCCAGGCCGCTCTGCCCCTCCCTAAGTGCCCAGTTCCTTCTGCTTGCTCTCTGCCTATGACCTGGAGGACAGCCTGCTGGCCTCCAGCTCCCCTGGTAAGGACACAGGCATGCTCTGTCCCCAGGGAGAGACCCCACCAGCCCCGCTAAGGGCTGGGTCCTCCACGTCTGGGTGCAGGATGTATCGGGTGCCCAGAGTTCTCCACATGTAGAAAGTTTTCATGCTTGGGAGCAGCTATGCTGATGATAAGCCTTGAGTCTGGCTGGAACCTGGGCTCAGCTACTGCTGGCTCTATGGCTTGGGCAAATTACTGAGCATTCTGTACCTGGGAAATACAGTGTCCCCCTCCTGATACTGTAACAGGACCAAAAAGCAAACTGTAGCAGTGCCTGTTGCATGGTGGTTGTCGTGTGAGTTGCAGGATTCATGTCTGAAGTATCACTGTGTGTAGCAGCCTGGATGATAGGCTGCCATGTGCCTGTGGCGTGGGAGAACAGGGGACACATGCCTACCTTTTCAAGATGGAATGCAGGGCAGAGGAGGGGCCAGCTGTCAAGTGTGTGAACGCCGGGTGGCTGCCAGCACCTGAGAGCCTGAGCGCCTCCTCCTGCCACCTCCAGGGTCAAGAAGGCCATAAGTGTGTGCAGAGGGCGTTCCCTGCCACACGTTTGGCAAAGGGCACTTCCCAGAAGAGCCCATGGAGTGCCCGTCTGCCCTCAGGGCTCTGGCATCGCAGCTCTCCCCAAAGCTGGGTCTGCGGCTGGGCACTCCTTGGAACAACCATGGCACTGCTGCTCCTATAGTCGCTGTTGCTGCTGTCCTTCGTTTTCTTCCACCAAGGAGCTGCCTTGGGCCTTAGGCTCAGCCATGCTGAGCATGGCTGGCAGGTGAATCTGCTGCTCCCCTGCGGGGTCCTGAAGTGATCTCTGTTTTTCCGGCAGCCTGGACCACCATCGTGGGCCTCCTCTATCATTCTGTGCACCACTACCTGCACAGCATCCCGCCAGCCAGCACACGGTGAGTCGCCTGGGCAGCTAACCTCAGTGATGCGTCCATGCTGCCATGCACAGGCACAGCAGTTTGGTTAGAGAACTCCAGCACCTCACAGTTGGAGGGAGTACGGCCCGTGGCCGCCTGGAGGAGACGCAGGACCCTGCACTGGGACCCAACAGAACCTAGAGCAGGCAGGTTATATGGGGCTATGGAGCACAGGGCAGAGACCCCATAAAGATTGACCATGTGGCCTTAGACAGCTGCTTGAGCCTCAGTTCCACATCTGCAGACCAGAAGGGTAGCCAGGTGACCATCCTCCATGCTTGGAGGGCTGCCTGTAGTTTGTTCCTATGACAAAGATTCAGCCTTGACCTTGCAGGACTGGTGCAGTGAGGCAGGCTGGAGTCTCTTTTCTCTCCCTGGGTCCGGTCAGTGCTGTCCTCCCAGATCCTGAGCATGGTCTCCTTCCATCCCTCATTCAGGCACCTCGTGCCCACTCCCTGGTTCTAGCCTTGAAGAGCTTTCAGGGCTATAAAATTCACCTCTAATTCTACAAGGCAAGCCCCACTCACATTAGGCAGCCTTCTGGAGATTGGATATAACAGAAAATCTAGTTTAAATGACTACATTGAACAAAAGGAGAATTTATTGGATCACATAAGCTCAGGAGCAGCTTGATCTAGCATTCAATTGTGATGGGGCTCTATCTCAGGATCCATCCCTGCAACGGGCTTCCTCCTCAGCCAGTCCCCTGCCCCCCCCCCCCCCCCAGGAGATTCTGAGCTGGGAGACCTTGTCCTTCAGCATCCTGCCCCAACTTTGTGGGTTTGAGGCACCTCCTGCACTGAGTCTTGTGGGTCCTGTGCTCATCTCTGAGTGGCACTGTGGCTTGAGGAATGTCTTGTGATGTACTGTTTGGTTCATACCTTCTGAGCTAGAGGGAGTCAGCTCCAAGCTCAGTGATGGCGTAAGGAAGGGTTGCCTGCTGGAAGGAAACTGAAGCACTTCCATAGGGAAGGAGCAGATGCTACCATCCCTGTTTTTACCATTTGGTAACTAGGGAAGAAAGTTCAGCCAGGGTGAGCTGCCCAGGGTCACACAGCAAGGAGGTCCCAGTGCTGAGATCCAGAGCCTGGTGTGATGAATCTGTTCTTCCAGCAGCATCTAACCTTGTAGTTCTGGTATCAGACTTCAGAGACAAGGTACTGACCTGCAGAATTCAGCTGACAGATTCAAATCCACCATGGAGAGCAGCAAGGTTGCAAGATAGAAAGCCCAGCTCCTCCCGAGGACCCAGGCCTCAGAAAGCTCCTGTTCCCTGGGAGTTCCATCTGGAACCAGTCTCCATTTCTTTGGCAGGATTTCTGAAGCAGCGTTTTACAGAGACTGCCTGCTGTCTGCGGTTAGCCACCTGATTTCCCTGGAGGTGTCCCCGCTGCCTGCTCTCTCCCAGAATCTGTCCCGTTCTCCCCTGCTCACCGTCCATCTCAGGCACACACTGGTGAGTGGGGTGCCTTCCACTCTGGCTGCATGGTGTTTTTGGCTGTGTGCATGTGAAGGGGCTTGGTAAAGGGGTTGTATTCCCTTCTCAAAACTCCATCCTTGGACCTTGAGCTGCAGCAAGACCCTATCTATGACCTGAAGTTGTGGCGTGCCTTGTTCTGGGTGACAGGGCCTCTGAGCCTGAGAGGATGAGCCAGCACAGCCACGGTGGTGAGACGCGGCTGTGGCCACTGTCCTGTGGGATCTTTGGCTGTCTGGTTCTCAGTTATCCTGAGTGACAGTGGGAAACAGGCTGCAGAACAGACTCTGAGTGAGAGAAACAGTCCCTGGTCCTTCATCACTGTGGTCTTAACTCTTAATTTACTCTGCTATTGGAAAGTGCAGCCGGAACACAGGGCATCTGACGTGCCACCATCCCCTAAGATGCATGTATGTGCCCCCCCCTTCCAACGCATGCATGTATGTGCCCCCCCCCCCCAACGCACGCACACAGCCCCCTGTGCAGCTCAGAAGTCGTGAGCTGCACACAGGGCAGTCTGGTCGGTGCCGTGCCCCGCAGCAGGGTCCTCTGATGGCCTCTAGCGCCTCTGTGTGGCCTAGGTTTAGCTGCCCTGTGGGGCAGAGAGCCGGTGGTTGACAGCAGATGTTTTTGGTGGTGTTGTCATGATTAGGTTCCTGAGGGGAGAGGCCTAGCCCAGAGGCTGGCTTTGGCATCTCTGAGTCTGCGCATGTACATACCTGCACACTCACACCCCTTTGGTGTTCATCGGGCTGGTATAAAGTGTAAGATTCGCAATGGAAAACCATGGTTCCTCCCTTTAACCTTGTGTCGCTGTGTCCCAGTGTCATTTCTTCTCCCTTCCTTTCTCCTGAGAAGGGCAGGCAGTAAAGGAACCTTTGCTCCCTCAGTCTGTCTCCCCAGCACCTCACAGGCAGTCTGTACTAATCTGTGAAGTTGACATTTTTTCCTTGGCGAATGAAGGGCTTGCCATCCGCTCCTGCCTGCTGGCATTTAGGCTGTTTCCAAGTATTTACAAACAGACCCCTATCCTTTCCGCTCCCTTATTCTGGCCCCTGGCCATGTCATTGTGCTGTGACAAAGAGCAGAAAGGTGTGCATGCAGAACAGAATGGCAGCCCCAACTGCTTCTCTTTCCTGGAAAATGTGTATGCGTGTGCATGCACGTGTGTGTGTGGAGGGGGGGGGGACATGTTTGTGTGCATGTGAGACTCATCTCTGAAGATGAGCCATTTAAAGCTGTCTGGTTCAAATGAACACAGATTGCCTTAGACACACTGATCCTATGATCTGAACAGAGTTCTGGGAGGCAGAAAAGCCTGGAAGTCATTGCCCACATGTGTGTTCCACCTCCCCCCACTCCCCACACAGCACAGCTGAGAAGTGTGGGCACAGGAGCAGGTGTGGGTGGCAGTGGAACATCTGGACAGAGATAGCAGGAGAGTTGGGCACCCAGGAGGTGGGACAGGATGGCTTCTAGCGGGGCCTGGAGCTGCAGGCAGAACTGAGCCGCTGTGCTCTGGAAGCGGAGCTTCTCTCTTGAAGGCTGTCGCACTGCCCATCCGCCCACACAGACGCTGGAGAGGCAGGGCTGTGGAGCGTCCCCTGGCCAGGCACTGGCTCCTCAGAGGAGGCAGTGAGCCCCGGGAGCGGCCGTTGCTCCATGCTCCCAATGCAGCCCCCAGTCTCCAGCTGTCGACAGAAGGTTCACAGGAGAAGGTGCCAATTTGGAAACCAGAAAGAAAGGGTGGACAAAATGCAGCCCTAGTTAATGGCCGGTTACTGTGGTTATTTTTAACAAAGAAAGCCTTGAATAAGGAATCTTGTCTAAAAGAAGCAGAGAGGAATTTTTATCATAGCAGAAGAGGATAGTAATTGAAGTGTGTCTTGGCCAAGTGTTCTCCAGGCTGTGGAGTTTTCTTTGAAGGTTGCTTGGTTTCTGGGGGTGTTTGGAGGAGTGTCCTAAGCTGCATTGATTTGTTGGATGGGAACATTTCCCATGGATTCTTGTTGAGGGGAACACACTGAGAGGGTACTCGGAAGGCACCCCACCCATCACGGGAGGTAACACAGAGCAGGGGTCATGGAGGTTTATTCTGACGTGACATATGGCCCAAGGTCACAGCCAAAATTGAAGCACCTCCTTTTCCCGGCACAGAGCAGATGGGGCTCTCCAGAGTCTTGAGGGCTGGGGTATGGGCCCATGCCGAGGTTCCTGAGTGGGCACCTGGTGATTCCCGCACAAGGGGGCATGCTGCTGTACCCCCAGCCTGCGCCATGGCAGGCCCGCGGTGGCCGGGACACCAGGGGCACGCTGCTGCACCCCCAGCCTGCTCCACGGCAGGCCCGCAGTGGCCGGGACACCAGGGGCACACTGCTACACCCCCAGCCTGCGCCACGGCAGGCCTGCGGTGGCCGGGACACCTGGGGCACCCTGCTGCACCCCCAGCCTGTGCCACGGCAGGCCCGCGGTGGCCAGGACACGGGGCACGCTGCTGCACCCCCAGCCTGGTCCACGGCAGGCCCACAGTGGCTGGGGACACAAGGGGGCACGCTGCTGCACCCCCAGCCTGCGCCACGGCAGGCCCACGGTGGCCAGGACACGTGGCCCATGGCTGCCCAGGCAGGGGGAAGTCGGCTCCCCCATGCTCCAGAGGCTTGGCGGCCCAGCAGGACAATAGTCTCCCTTCCTAAACCTCTGCCAAGAGTACAGAAATCTCCCTCCATGTGTGCCATATGGTCTTGGGAGGCTGGGACACTGGAGTGGGCAAAAGTCCAGACCCCAGAGGCTTTGCACAAGGCTAGCATGCCCTTTGGTGTGCCTCCGCAGGGCAGGTCATATTGTGGGTCACACTCAAGTGCAGTACGGTGCAGTAGTTTGCTGTCTATCAGTGGTGCTGATCACCCAGTTTGACTTACTCTCAGCACTGAGCTGGGGAGACTGAGGACTGTCAGACCCCTGCTGAGCACCTGAGTGCCGTGGGTGCTAAATATAGTATTCCCTCCCCACCCACTGGGTGCCTGGAGCACCTCTCCCAGCTGTGACAGTCAGATAGGCCCAGGCCTAGCCAAACCCCCTGGGATCGCAGGCCTGTATCACTGTGGAAGGAGCGGCTGGTCACGAACAGTTGTGTGAAACTCCATCTGTCCACTTCCCTACCGTCCAGTCCCTTCCAGTTTGGAGCTAATGAATGCAGTCCTGTGTTTATGTTTCCTAAGTCATGTTCAGAGCCAGGCTGAGGGAGTTGTGAGCCTGGTTGTTCTCTTGGTGTCTCTTGGATCTGGATTATGGCAATGTTAATTCTTTAACACCTGTGGCAAATGAGGAAAAAGTCTTATGGAGTTCCTTTCTCTTGATGGGGCTGATCTTTGGTGCTTCAGGGAGTAGGGAGTAGGCTGACCCAGCCCCGCATACGGTGGTGCCCAGACACGGCCGTTCAAACACGCATACAAGCACAGATGCACACACGCACATAGCTAAGCATCCGCTGACTCCACCTTCTGGAGATGACAGGTGGGCACTGACACCTCAGTTGCCTTCTCAAGAGTGTTTGAGGGGCCTGAGAGCCCTTGGGGCTGTGTAGAGGGGGCTGTACCGGCAAACTGTTCACAGCTCCCCAGTCCTAGGTCAGCAGTGTGCATCTCTAGAACAGTAGCTGTGAACTCGGGATTGTTTTCATGGCTGCCTTGTAGTCCACTTACCTGTCTGATCACCGTCTTGTGTCAGAGTGTCAGCATCACAAACACCATAATGAGCCTGTGTTCCCACACAATGGCCTGATTAATATGGCTGCATATTACCCTGATTAAGTGGCCACTTTTTTTTTTTCCATTTTAAAATTGGCTTTGGAGGGTTAGGGTTTAATTCAGAGGTTTAGTGTTTGTTTTGGAGGTTTAGGGTTTGTGTCTCCCTCCAGAGGGAGGGAAGAGAGTTGTAGACTCCTAGGCTGAAAGGGTTAGAGCTAGGTGTCCAGTGATGCAGAGCGTACTCCACACACCCCGTTTTAGGAGCAGACATCTTTTCCAGGTCCACCGCCAGAGTGGTGAGTGTCTCCACATCTGGTTTTTATTTGCTTTTCCCTGCAAGGTTGATGTCCCTTTTTATGTGTTTATTGGACATAGTGATTGACGCCTCCTTTGTTGTTTGAACTCAAGGCTTGTGCTTCCTAGGCACACACTCTGCCCCTTGGCCCACGTCTCCAGCTGCTCTTGCTGTAGTTTATGTTTTGGAGAGGTTCTTACTTCCCAAGCCAACCCAGATGGTGATCATCTCCTCTCTGCCTCGTGCACAGCTGGGATTACAGATGTGTACCACCACACTCAGCCCTCTGGTACTTTTTCTTTTAAATTGTCCTATCCCATTTTTCTGCTGCTACTTTTCTTACTGGTTTTGGGAGTTCTTGCAGGTCTTGGATGTGAGACTTTTGTTGGGCCCATGAATGGCATATTTCTTCCTCGGTCAGGTCTTGCCTGTTTGCTCTTACAGTACTGTTGATGAATAGCAGCTGTCAGTTTTAGTGCACCCAGCCCGTCATGCTCTTCTCCTGAGCTCCATGCTTCTTGTGTCCTGGACAAGGAGTCTTATCTACCTGAAGGTCACGATGTGGCTTCTGTGTTACCCTCAGCATTTATGGCTCTCTTTCCCATTTAGATCTATGACGCTTGTCTAATTGTATGTGTGTGTGCTGTGAACTAGGGTCAAGATTTATTTCCCACCCACGGATATCCAATTTACCTTGCTCAACTTGTTAGCAAGATAAGCATTGCTCTTATCCTGCAGTGTCCCCTGAGCCATAAATCGTGACTGGTCTCCATGGCTGTGTTTCTGGATGTTCCGCTATGCATCCTCCCTGTATACAGGAGCTCAATGGAGCTGGGCAAGGGTCCGAGCTCTGCCCCCTCCAACCTTCCAGCTATGCTAGAGTTTAATGCAGGGATGTAGCTCAGTGGCAAAGCACTTGCCTAGTAATTGCAACAGTC